ACCACCATCCCATCACCAGGCCTGTGCTGGGCTCCTCACTCACACCATGACCACCAGCACTTCCCATTCCAGTGGAAAGGCTCCACCTGCCATCCCTGCCAGCTCCCCCATTGGATGGGGAGGGCAAGCCGCTCCGGGGCTTTATCTGCTCCTGCAGCTCCCAGCAAAGGGTCCTGCTCCTGCAGCTCCCAGCAAAGGGTCCTGCTCCTGCAGCTCCCAGCAAAGGGTCCTGCTCCCTCCTGAGCTGCCTGCTGTAGCCCAAAGGCACAACCAAGGCAGAGGCACCCAGCTCTGCCCTGTGGGATCCTGCTCCAGGTGACACATCCCTGGGATGAGTCTGGATTGTCAGGGACAGCCCAGTGCTTGCTGCAATGCCACCAGCCCCTGGCAGGCTGGGCTTGGTGGGAGGTGGCTTGTCCCCCTGCCCAGCCCCACTGGGTGGCTTTTGCTCCTCTGATTCTTTTATGTTGCCTTGGAAACAATGGGATTCAGCACAGATCTGATTTAACCAGCAGACGTCATGCAGGGACGTGGTGTGGCCAGGGCACTGGCCCTGGGCTACCAGCAGCTGGGAGGGGGCTTTGATCCCATCCCTGAGCACAGGAGCAGGCTGTTTGGTCCCAACTCACTCCCAGGCCTGAGGAGTGACATCCCACTGCTCATCCCAGGAGAGATGCTGTGGATCACTGGTGGAGCTGGTCTCTGTGATGCCATCTCTGAGCCCATTGGGATGTCCCCAGGCCACAGCATTGGCCACTGTCACCACCATCCCATCACCAGGCCTGTGCTGGGCTCCTCACTCACACCATGACCACCAGCACTTCCCATTCCAGTGGAAAGGCTCCACCTGCCATCCCTGCCAGCTCCCCCATTGGATGGGCAGGCTGAGCAGCTCTGGTGCTTTATCCTCCCACTCCCACCCCAGGGCAGCCACCTGCTTCTTGGAGAGACATCCAGACTGGAGCAACGTGGCAGGAAGATGCCAGAGTTTGCCCCATGGCCCTTCTCCTTCTCCTCCCAGGCAACACTCACAACACCTCACACAACCCTCAGGCCTTTTTCCCAGCTCAGCCCTGAGCTTCTCCCCTCTAAGCTCTATTTTTCCCACCAATAGAGCATGTTTAGACCCATCCTTTAATTTCAAGGCTTCTGTTTCCCATGGAGAACGTGCAGGACTCGTGCTGTGCCTGCAGAGTGTTCCAGCCAGAATGGAACTCTTAGGACTTGCCTGAGCAATGAGATGCTTAACTTGGGTAGCTGGAGTCACTTGCAAGTTCTCAGCTCATGTGCACTGAATTGTACCTCTTGCTGGGTAATTAAATTGATACAAGCAACTACCAATCAAACCTGAAGCAATTAATTAGAACTAAGTACTTTTAGGGGAAATGAGTCCTTGCTTTACTTCCCAATGCAAGGAGGAGCTCATGTTGGTGAGCTGCTCTTCTGCAGCTGGCCCAGCTCATCACACCCCATTCAGGAGCAGCAAGGTCTTGTAGCAGCAGCTCTAACAAGATTTCTTTCCCCAAAAGTGCTTGTTTTAGGGCCTACCTGCTCCAGAAGTCAGCAGCATTCCTGTCCTCTTCCTCCAGGCTGGAGACAGTCCCACTGCAGGGGCAGCTCAGGAGCAAGAGGACCTGCTTCCCCAGTACCAGGGCTTTCCAACCCCACCTGTCTCCAGGAACACCCACCTTGGAGTCTTCAAGGGGGCTGACAGCCCCCAGATTCCTCTGCCTGCCTTCAGAAGAGGCAGCCCTACTGCTGGGTGCTCATTTATCTCCTCCTTCCTCTTCCTTTTCCTCTCCCCACCCACCCTCAGGGCCCTTCCCCACCTGTGCAGGGCACCTGCTGGCTCCTCCCTCCTTCCCTGCAGCCTTTGCCAAGGCACCCAATTCTCCCCATCAATACTTGGACCCCATTTCAACCTCAGTGGGAGATCTGGGGCGAGGGCTCCCTTGCAGCCCTGGGTTGTTCCTCACCACATCCAGCCCCTGACACTGTCCAGTAGTCACTGGGATGAACCAGCAGTAGGACCAGATGGTCCTGTTGGCTTTCTGGGGTCACCCGTGACCCCCCACCCTCCATGCTGCCTCACTCCCCACTTTTCCCAGCTCTGGCACCCCCTCATCAGGTCCGTGACACCCAAGGGGGGGGGGGGGGGGGAAG